CAATCTTTCTGTGACTCAGTTTCCTCAAATATAGAATGGAGGCCACAGTAGCCCTGAGCATGATCAATTGTCTCTAAAGCCGAGTGTATTTTTATGCTACGGCGATGGAAATGGCACTTGTTACCATGTGCCTGTCACTCGTGACTGTCACCATGGTTATGGGATCACTCTTATCACCAGCCTGTCCTGTGTTTAATTGTCAGGCTCCTCAGAGGCCAGGCAGGTTCCTGCCTCATGCTGTGTCCTCAGCAGGCAGCCTGGCCTGATGAACACTCCTGGATAATGAAGACGCTTTCTCGATGGACAAACGAGTGGGGTCCACAGGCCAGTCCTCCTTCACTGGCTTGAACTGATGCTCTATCAGCTGGGGCCATTCTTCATGGGCCTCCCACCTTCTGGGATTTACGTTTGCAGATTGGAAATGTAGCTAAAGTGAGTTTATCTCTCGATGTGACTCTGAGTGGACCTAGCATAGATAAGCCAGGCGCTCTGCAAACAATGAACAATGCACAAATACTTATAGGCGGAGATAGAGTTCTGTGGGAAAGCGCTTGTCTCGCATGCATGAAGACCTGGGTTTCAGTCTAAAATCAACAGAGGCCTGCAAGTCAGTCAAAAGCCTGAGTATACAGGATTGCTTCCAATGCACCAGGCAGCATATAGGTAGAAAACATGTGCTCCCAGGACCCTCCCTAAGCCCTTAACAATCCAATGGTCTAATTATCACATTTCACACATGAGGATTCTAATCACTTTCCCCCCACAAATTAAACAACAATGCCCAATTATAAGCAGCCAAGTATGTTTAAATCTGACCTCCCAGTGATCCTGTGTCCTGAGACGTGGGGGGGCAATACCAATTTTGAGCATTCTACACCTGCCTCGTGCATGAGGACTTCCATATAAGTGTCAGAGTGCACGCCTTAATTTTTTCCAAAAGCTGGAGTTGCAGTACGAAAGCGTGCTGCTCCACAGCAGTGCAAGTATAGAGAGGAGGGAAGGGTCTTCTGTCTCCACAGAGGCAAGTCCTGGGGCAGAAAAGAGATCAACCAAACCCAAGAATCGAAAGATTTAGAAGCAGGGGATAAATACTTCATTATAAAAGCCAGCCCTGGATAAGAGTGGAGCCAGCAAAGGTACGGCAGAAGTCTGAACGCTGGAGGTACATGTCACAGACATCTACTAGAGGCCCACCATGTGCCTGGCAGTTAGAACTGCTGTCGTAAGTGGCCCGCATCCTGCCATTGCCCTCCTGAGGGGCACAAGCTGAGAGATTCCTCTCCAGGTGATGCCATTTCTTTAATATGAGTAGAACGAGCACAGGCCAGTACCGATGGCCCTCAAGCCTACATGGTGAAGGTAGGAACAAGATCATAGCTGGACAACTGGGTTGATAAATACCCCAGCTCTCTTGTCCTTAAAGAGTGACTACTGGAAAGTTGTGGTCCGTACAGTCTCCCAATTCCCCCAGCTCTTCTCCAGGACCCCAGTCTCTTTCTCCCCTGCGCTGGTACTCACTCATTTGCTTTCTCCCTCCCTGGAGACAGTTTTCTATCATCATTTCTCAAACACGCTATCTGCAAAGAAACCTTTAGTTCTAAGTCCCCAAACCTTTCTTTTGGGGAAATTAGACCAAGATACAAGCCTTACAGAAAGAGGGTTTAAGGCAGTCTTCCAGCTGTTCACTTACTTTAAGCTGGATTGCTTGGCCTCGTCAGTGGCCCAGCAGTGCCTAAGGAGAAAAGACAAGCTGTATTGTTGGGTGAAAAACGGCATTCAGGACAAGACACTTTGACATAATCCCAGCAAACAGTGAGGTAGAGTCTCACGAAATGTTAAGGACAATGGGATGCTTAATGCCCTAATCATAACAGATAAGACATGCTGTGGATAAGACAGAAAGGTGTTCTCAGAGAGAATTATATCATTCTCTATTTGCTTCGAGACATTGAGGGGCACCATTGCGCACATGGTCCTAATGAGTGCTGGGAGTGTGGCGCTTAGAGCACACTTGACGCGGCATAAACTGCACTGGTACCTGGGACTCACAAAGGCTGCCCATCACAAGCTGCCAAGCGGCGCCCATCCTTACAGTCACTTAGTGTCTCTCTGTGGCTAATGAACTCCAGCAATGGGCGGGTGAGCCAGAGCCCTGGTCTGGATTCCTCGGCATCAGCAGCAAAACACTGTCACCCGCTCTAAGCAACCAACTCCAACGCAGAAACGTGACATGAAATGTCACAGCTCCCTGTGCCTGGCCTGTCCACTCAGCAGCCATCCTGTTTAAGACATACATAATGCTTAACTGTGGTTGTAAAAAGCCCCACACTTATTGAATCACAAGAGTTTAAAACAAACCAACCAACAAACAAACAAAAACCCCAAGAACTTGGGAGATTTTCTTCTTAGAAGCAAGCCTGCATAATCCCAGACTTTACTGTCAACTTTCCCTCGTCTTATTTACTTTATTTTATTTTTTTAGTTTTGTGGTACTGAGAATTGGTCCGAGAGCCTACATGCTAGGCAGGTGTAATCTCACTGTAACCCCATCCCCTTGGGGGTTGTTCATTGTTTGTTTTGAGATGAAGTCTCACTGGATGACCCAGGCTGGCCTTGAACACTCACTCTGTGGCTCAGACTGGCCTTGGATTTGTGTTACAGGTTGTGCCACCATTGTGCCACCATTGTACCAGCTATCATCACTTGAGCAAAGGACCTCTAATGGAGTAGGTGTTTTCAGTACATACATGAACAGATTAGCATTTGTGAGCTCTCTGACAGGGCTGCTTCTTTGTAATGGAGCTGTCTCTCCTCCTTGCAGCGTCTCTGCTTCCCTCTCCCTACCTGGGTCTGTACACCTTCGCACAGACAGCTATGTCCTTTATTCTCTGAAGTCCAGAGACCCTTGTCACTTCAGGCTCCTGTTTCTGGTTGGCTTTCCCTAGACCTCAGTGTAACAGCTACCTCTTCAGAAACACTGTCTGTCCCCCTGACCCTGGTATGAGACATGATCCAGCTATATCCTCAATCCATCACACCACTTTTTCCTTCCTGTCCTCTGTCCAGGGTCTTCTTAGTCTACTGTCCCACACAGCATGAATCTGTATAGGTAACATAGGAAGGAGAAAAATAACTAGAGATTTCCAACCTGATGTTTTCACAAGATAGTACTGGATGAGGGATCTTGGTGAGCTAAAGGACATAAGAAAAAAAGGCAATGAATTATAGCCTGTTGACTGCCGAATTTAGTCACATATTGAAAGTACCAGGAAGCTTTACAAAGGTGTGACTGGATTTCATCCTTAGAGGCTGATGCATGGCTCTGGGGTATGCTATTTGTTTTTGCTTTTGTTTTTAAATTACTAAGCTGATTATAATATGCAGCAAAGTTTGAGGATATTGTTTCTTTGTGCTTTAGGCATATATATATATATATATATATATATATATATATATATATATATACAGAAATGCATAAATCAAAGTACAGAAAGAGTTAATTTCCTGAGACTGAACACTGTGATAACCAGAACACTAGTTAGAAATGTTGCCCCTGCACCACCTCCCCACCCCTACCAGGAACCTTCTATGCGCATGAGCCTTCTAACCATGGCCTTGACGTCCAAACACAAGTCAGTCTTCTCTGTTGCCTATTTCTATATGAGCAAAAGTTTGAATCCTGAGCTGTCCATTTAGGAAGTCTTTTGGAAGAGGTAGTATTTAAAGGAAGGAGATGAGGGTGGAAAGGGAGAATAAAAAGAGGGAAGGTGGCAATAGAGCAGCATCTGCTACAAAAAGAGGCAAGAAGAGATGCCGTAGACCGCAGTTGACTCCGCAGGGCATGTCAACTTGGCCAAAGTGTGCTGAGTGTGTCTTTCCTCGCCAGGACGCTTAACTACCATTTAGACATGATTCCACTTTTTTCTCCCTTACAGCCATACTGGACTGTGATTAGAGATCTCATGTAAGTCAAGCTCATTGTCTGTAGTAGGAGACAGATAATAAACAGCAAGGTACACGGTGAAGACATGAGGTAGAACACCAGTAACTTTTCCTTTCTGGAAATGTCAACATCACCCGTGTTTCTTGCTTTTCTTGTCCTTGTGACCAGAGGACATTTCAGGAAGGAAGGATTTCTTTGGGCTCCTTTTTTAAGGGACTTGGGTCATCGTGGTGGAGAAGGCATGGCCACATTCAGGGCAGTTGGAGTGGCTTCTGTCCCTGGAAGTGCGAATGAGTGGGAGACAAGTTGCACATATCTTGACAGATGAAGACACAGAGTGTCTGGGGCTAGAAGGGAGGCCAGGCCCTATAGTGACACTGTACATCAGCTAGTTATCCCATGCCCCCAAAGTTCCATGTTTTTCCCGAACAGCACCCCTACCTGCGGACCAAGGTGAAGCACAGGAGAGCATGGGGAACATCTTATACACAAACCATTAAAAAAAAAAAAATTTCAGACTTTACCATGTGTGTCTTCATCCAAACTATAAACACTAGTTCTTGTTCCTTAAATATATGAACTTTTTAGACTTCACTTTAAACATATACTTTAGATAACTACCGTAAATAAAGCACAGTGGTGCCTTTCACTGGCATAGAAGGCAATCCCGCATTAAATTCAGCAAATCAAACCATTCTGTGAAAGTTCAGCTTCCTCAGCCTCCCAGCCTGAATTCTGTAGCATCGGAGTTAAGAATGAAGTCATTGAGGTGGGGCCATCTTGAAGTATAAAGGCAGGAGTTTTAATCAACCAGAACACAGGTAAATGCCCGGTGGGCGTGGCAGCTCATCTGTAATTCTACTCGGAAGGAAGAAGCAGGACTTCCCCAGAGAAGGCTGACTGGCTACTGTGGCCCACGTTGGCAAGCTCTGTGCAGCATTGAGAGACGCTAGCTTAATGAATAAGCCACCAAGAAGGATTCCTGAGGTCACATACACCCATACATAGGTGAACATACACACACACCCATGCCCGCCAGACACAGACACGTGAAAAATAAATAAAAGGATAAATGTTTGCAGGTGTCAGGCCTAGAGGAGACACAGTATTAAACCACAACTTTCTCCAAATGAAAGAGGTTTGAAGGGGCGTACGTCCGCTTGTGTGATGCAGAATTGCACAGTGCTATGGTCGCACCACTCAGTGCCATCCGAGTACTCTTGCTTCTGCTTCCCACTGGTATTAACAGCACCTTCTTCACTGATGACTGAGCACAGTACTCTAGCAGTAACAACTAAAGAAAAAATACAACTCAATGAAAGAACATCCAGAAGCAAGGCCAGAAAGTACACACGGTGAGTGGAGTTATAAAGACTCTCCATTGATAAAAAAAAAAAAAAAAAAAAACAACCACCAAAGGCTGTAAAGGAGTAGAGGTGCCTGAGAAGGCAGGAAAGAACTGGGAGGATGGCTGAAGCCAGAGTCTTGAGTTTATTTGTTCCAAGACTGGGTTCCCCCAATCAGCTTCATTTTTTTGGTTTTGGGTGTTTTCGTTTTTGTTTCTGTCCTCTCGTATTTCCAATGTTGTTGCGATTGGGTTTTGGAGGTGCATCCTTGTGTGTGCCCCATTGCAGTTTGCTCTCCATCACCGACCGAGAGGAGCCATGGAAGGATCGGGAACAGGACCTGAAGGAGAAACCCCAGAAGAACGCTGCTTACTAGCTTGCCTCCTTTAGCTGGTTCAGCTGACTTTCATACACAGCTTGGGCTTGCATACCTAGGGATGGCACTGCCCATTGCAGCTGGGCCCTGCATCCATTAGCAATTAGGAAAGCACCCCACAGGCATTGCCACCGGCCAGTGTGATAGGAGCAGTTCTTCAAGTGAGGTTCTCTTCTCCCCGGTAACAATAGATCTGTGGTGAGGTTGACACCGGAGGCTAACTAGGACAGCATCCTAGCAGCCCCTACGCTTTAGGGCAGTACCTTGTACCCCTAGTGCATTCTGCAGAAGTTTGTCAAGTGATGCCTTGGGCATACTATGGATCCCAAGGCAAGAGGTTTCCAGAGAAGATGGAAAATTCACCTTACAGCCCACCCCCTCTCCCAAGCCTGTGCTTCCTGGGCGTGTGATTGCGGGGTGCTATACTCTACAATGAATTCAGAAGCCCAGGGCTTTCTATGTGTATTCTGGGAAACCATACTTAACACCTCTTTGCTAACATTGCCAACTATGATAACAACAGGCCTTCTCTGCCTCAGTTGCTGAAGAGCTAGGCTGGGGTGAGGTTAGGTGATCAGGGCTGACCTGGTGGTTTAGGCTGGGTGATGTAATTACTTGCCCTACCTGTGTGAGGCGGAGGCTTGCATGGGAATGTTGTAAATGACTAATTTGCACTTCGCAAACAGTGACAGTAACACCACTCTGTGGCCCATGGGTAGGGCTGGCTGAGCTACATGCCCTGTGGCCCAAAAGCACTGTTGCTGAAGACTGGACTGAACTTGTTGTAGCTGGTGCTTAATTGCCCGTGAGGAAGAGTCAAGGTGGCAGGAAGATGGGGCATGCAGGAGGCATCTGAGCTTTCATTGGTCAGGCCTCATTACCAGTGGATACATAGTGGGGAGGAGCAAGAGGCCAAGAGAGATTGTATCACAGTGGCCACGAGACCAACATGGTTCCTGGTGCCACTCAGTTGTGTGTAAGCATACTTTGCTTCTAAGGTCAGCAGCATTATCTTTGTCTGATGCCTGAAGGAAAAAAAAAAGATTCTGGGCAGAAGTTCTCAGACTAGAGTGAGCAGGTGGGTTTGAATGAAATACTGGAGTCTACTACTGGAATGCATCAACTCTGGAACCAGGTCCACACTGAACAAGGTTCCCATCTAGAAACTTCAAGGTGTTAGTCTCCAAGCAGGGAAAAAATTTGGCCCCAGAGGACACTGGGCAAGGTCTGTAAAATGTTTTGTCATCAGAGCAGAGAGGAGGGGTCTGGCATCTAGTGGCTGGGATGTTGCCAAGCAAGCATCTTGCACTGTGCTGGACCACACTCATCTCCAGCAGGCAGTATGTGGCCCAAAACGTTAACAGACCCAGAGCTGTAAAACCTGGTTCATGGTGCCAATGTGGATGTGTCTTGTAAGGGCATTTGGGGTGGAGAGCTAAGAGGCAGGGACTTCTGGTGTTATGCTAAGGGCATACCCAACTCCCTCCTTCCCCAAGGTTAGAACCTATCTTTGACTTGTCCCAGGCAGCCCCACTTGAGAACCATCCTTCCTCCTTCACACTCCAGATTTACCCCAGGCTTGCTGCCACAGGACTACCATCCCAGTCACGAGGGAGGCTGAGACAAGAAGATCCCAAGTTCAAAGACCTACCTCAGAATGACCCAAGATTTACATCCTTTTGCTGCCTGCCCACGTGTCACTGACTTTCTACCCCACTGAAAGGAGAGCTCCCTCGGGACGGGACAGGCTCTGTCTATTCACTGGTGGGTCTGCAAAGGTGCCTGCTACATTGTGGTACCCAGTGATGGAGTTCCAGCTAAGACGGACTATTGCGCGTGGAGTCCGCTTTCAGCCCCAGCGCACCAGTCAGTTTTCACCAGGCCAGGCCGCTCCGAAGTTGTGTTCTCAGCATGCTTCCTTTTCACTCATTGCACAACTCTTAAGGGTGGGGTGAGGAGGGGTGGAGCTGTATCTTTTGTGCTCGCCCACCACTGAGAGATAGAAGAAGACAAAAGAGGCCGCATCTCCCTAAAAAAACTTAGACTCCAGTGAGGTCTGAGGCGATCCTCCGAAGAAAGCACGATGCACAGCATCCACCCCCTTGATAAGCCCAGTGGGGGAAAATAAAACAGAGAAACGTGTACATCAAATTTTCAGCAAAGCGGACAGACCTCTGGGAAGTGACTGGACACCAGGGGTCTAGTTGTCCCAGAGGCTGTTCCCCTCCCTCTTCATAGACACCCACAATCGGGATTTACCCATTCCCTGTAGCTGCTGTGGCTGTAAAACAGTTACACAGTAGGTGCTCAATAAATACCAGCAGCAAAGGGAAGCAGAATGGACATTATGTAATTAGTCTGTCCAGGAGTCAGAAACTAAAAGAAAGAAAGAAAGAAAGAAAGAAAGAAAGAAAGAAAGGAAGG